GGTGGCTAAAGCCCGATGTAAACTGTTCTCCTTCAGGTACTGCATGATAAGACGGATCACACTGAAAGAAGAAAGCAAATCATCCAGCTCTGGGATCCTCACTCAACAAAGAGGCCACAAAATAAAGCCCAACCCATCTTATTTCTCTGACTCAGCCATCTTTCTTTCACTACCTACTTTCCATGTCTTTATCACATAGGTAAAACTTTCCAAAAATCACAGAATCTAAATTATAAGGGACCCTGGGGATCATCCAGTCCTATCTCCATCTCAGAAATAGAACTGGGGTTCAGAGAAGGGAAATAATTTGTTCAATGTCTCACAGTCATCTAGAAAGGGAGTTGGTATCAAGGTGACTCTCTTACTTCCAAGGCCAGAGATCTTTTTATTATGCCAAGTTTTTTATTAATTTGTACAATTGTATTGTGGCACACTTTAATGAAATACTTAAGCTTAGTCTAGTCATTAACACAAATACATACTCGAAATGCTTGTGGGATGATTTGGTCCATTTTTAAAACGACAACAAAAAAATGTAAATTGAGATTTTCTTAATAGGGATTTGTTGAACACAAATAAGTAGAGCTACATTATATATAAAAGTAAACAAAGCTATATGTTCTCATTTGCAAAAATAAGACCTACCCACTGGCTTTATTACCAAATTTTCAGAACAAGTGAAATAAAAACATTGTAAATTCAGTTCCCTAAGGAAAAGAGGAGACATATCATTGCCAAATATTGAGAGAATAAACAACCATTTCAACATGTGCCAGAAAACTTACAAATTATTTATAGTAAAATACGGGGGGTGCCAAAAAAATGTATACAAGTGGACGCTGGTCAACATTGCTCAAAGCAATAGTTCTCTGTAATTAGAAATGTCTAGATGCTGATAGTAACCACTTTGAGCACCTCTTGTAATTGCAGAAGTCAAATGTGACTTGTATTCATCTTTTGTTATTGATATATATTATTACAATTTTAATAGTTTTCCTTTCTTAAAATGTGTATACATTTTTTTTTTGCATCCTCTGCATAGTTATTTACAGTTAAAATTTCTTGATCTTGAACTTAACAATGAGTCTGGTGAAGAAATCTTTCATATAAACTGTAAAAGTTTACTGTACAATGCTGTGATACACTGTTTTCCTTCTCTTTCTTTAAAAGCACATATGTGGCTCACACTGCATTTCTACTGGACAGCACTAGTATAGAGGGTCATACTGTTTTGGTTGGAAGGTATTTCAGATTAGAATTTAGTCAATTCCCTCTCCTGGGAAGAAAAATAATCACAAAACAATAACCAATGTTTATTATGTGTTTACTATATACCAAGTACTATTCTAAGCATTTTAGACATATTCATTCATTTACTCCTCAAAACAACCCTATGAGGTAGGTTATTCCTATTATGTCCATTTTACACATGAGGATTTCACTAAGTAACAGAGATAAGTGGAAAAATGAAGATTCAAACTGGCAGTGTGGCTCTTGAGCATACATCCCTGACAAGAAAGCAAATACCCTCTTCCTGAAAACCCCTGCAGAAGGAAACTGATTACTGCTACTTGCAGTAGTCTTTTCTCTCATGGCCCCTTCAAAAGATATCCAGGTTTAGATCCCTGCTATTCTAGTACTTACTACCTTCGTGAGCATACTTCGAATTGTACCCCCAAAATAAGACACTCTTCCTGTAAAGACCTCATATGTGACATAACCAAAATCAAATTTACGTCCTTCAAACACAAGGTGATAAAGAGCTAAAAGCTTCAGATAGCAGCTGGAATTTGAATCAGAGTTTTGTCACTTACGGTGACCTTGGGTAAGTGGGTTATCTCTGTGCCTGTTTCCTCATCTGTTAAGAAAAACACCTGCCCTGAAGGCTTGCTGAAAGGGTTATAGCATGACTATCATAGAAAATACTCAGTAAACAGTGGCTATTATTGCTAATAAAAATGTGAAGCAGCCCAAGACTGGGAGAATAGTCAGTGTCCACTATTATTCAGGCCCCAAAACATGGAATCCTTTCCAACTCTGGCCCTGACTCCAGCAGTCTCTATCACTCTGCTTTATTCTTCTCCACAACACTTATCACCATCTGGTAAGCCTCATATTTCACTTATTGTTTTTGTCTATTGTTTGCCTTCCCCAATCATAATGTATATTCTATTAAGGACAAAGATTTTTGTCTATTTTGTTCACTACTGTATCTCCAGGATCTAAAACAGTACATAGCAGACTTCAATATTTGTTGAATGACTAAACCTCTCTTCCTCCTATGGCAGGTCTTCAGGACAATTCCTCTCCCTTACAGTCAAGACACAAATTTTACATCTGCTGATTCAATTAAGTTTGGGCAAGGGCAGGCAGGGTGGAAGGCAGAGTCCTGGAGAAGTTCATTAAAGACCTCCTTTAGTCATTCATTAGACCCCTTACTCCCCCAAATTTATCATTCTTCTGGCCCAATCTGCAGATTGTCTCTCTCCTTTGTAGCTATAGAGCTCAGACTAGCTCAAATTCAGCGCCAGATAGAGCCTGATAAAATAGCTAGTCGTTCATTCTCTTCAAAGGCAGTAATCGAGCCTCTACGGTGTGCTAGGCAGTGGGACTATAAGAAAAAGGAACCCCTAGGCGCTTACACAGGCTAGTAGGGTGGACAGAGAAACAGTGACAATACTGGGTTAAGTGCTGGGCAGAGGAAAGCAAAGGAGCCATGTAAGCGCAGAAGAAATGAATCACACTTGTTTAACGGGGGCGGGAAGAGCAGGAAGGCTTAGAGCACAAGACCCCTTGTGCAGATCATTAGAATCGAGAGCAGCGCGCCAGGAGTCGGCAATGGCTAGAACTCAAGTCTCAAGATGTATCCTATCCCCAGGCCCACGCCGCCTCCCACCGGGCTTTGGGCTTCTCTTCTCGTCCGCTACTTTCTTATGGGCCCATGTCCGAGGTTGCCAGATGCAAGGAACTTCTTTGTGGACAAGGAAATGCCCCTCCACTCCCTAGCCTCTCAGACGCTTCTGCCTGAGCACCTTCCACCCCACACCCTTCATCTCCCGGCCCCCCGCCACTTCGCGAACACCGCCGCCGCAGGACTCACTCGGAGGACTCGATTTCGATCGACATAGCGTTATATTCACGGGAGCAGACCCCACTCCACGCTCAGGCCTAGTCGCGCAACGCAGAACGACAGCTCCGGCGGCCGCCTTACGTCACTTCCACTCGACGTCTGACGCCAGCCCCGAAGGCGCTGTGTACGGAAGAGGGGCGTGGAGCACTAGAGGGGCGGAGCCTCGAGAGGCTGTCAATAATAGGAGTCCACGTGCCTGCTGAGGATTCTCCTGTCTTTCCTGGAGGAAAGTGCTTAGAAGCACTGGTTTGGAAATTTTGCTTTCATTTGATGCACTTAGTTGATTAGATTTAAAGATAGGATTGAATTTACAATAGCTGAGTGAGAGGTTAATACATTTGAAATCAATGGGACCCTAGCCAACATTAGTAGGTAGAGTTAATTGAGATGAATGAGTGAATGAATGAGTGAATGAATGAATGACTTTGAATCCAAAATACAGTTTAATCAGTCTAATTATGAAAAGCTTGGAGACCTGTTAGGGTTTTCGTACCCGCCTGTGGGAAGAGCTAAATTACTTACAGCATTTTCAACTCAGAATTTAGTTGAAAAGAATTTTGTTTCAATGGTACGATTACTGAGAAAACAATGGAACCAAATGCAAATATGTACAGAAAAATTAGAGACTTCCTTTAATAGACTTTTTCAACCATACTTTATTAAATTAGTAGAGACAAATGAAATGCAGGGATATCAATGAACTTCATAAATAAATGCTAGCTTTTAAAATATTTTATTGCCATTTTATGTAAATTTTTAATATTTACAGCACAATGATAAATTTGTGTTGTGAAAATTACCTATTGAAATTGTTTATTTGGAGATTTCCTGTTGGCTTTCAGTCTTATCTGATACTGTCCCCAAAAGTCAGCCACAGAACTTCCTTTTAGCCTCTTAAATGCTGCTTCTTTTTTTCAAATCTTCCTCTATTTTTCACCAACTCTTGAAGGACATGATCTCCAAGATCTCAAAATTCTGAGAGTTTAAATGTTTGCTCCAACATGTGGTGAGATAACTAGATGAGTGTATGATTTCTGAGATATTCTTTCACTATTCCATCCCATGACACAACATAGAAAATTATTATACCATCTTTCTTGAAAAGAAGAGCCAGCTAACTTTCAATAGCTTATGCTATTGCTTGCTGCTTGAGCAAATCCTGGTGCCAAGCGTCCTGTTTCAAGTCAGAACTTGCTATTTGCTGCTGTGTCTGTGGTTTATGCATCCACAACAATCAGATCATTAGACACCATTCTTGAGAAACGAAACTTTATCATTATAGTTAGCAGCAACAGATATATTCCCATCTTCTGCTTCTTGGATGTATTGGATTTTTAATCTCTGATCGACAATGAATGCCCCTTGCATCACAAATTCTCTTTATCCATGTTTCCTCCATAATAATGGACTTGAATATGACACGTTTGTTAATATATGTAATGAAACTGAAATATTTACC